GAGGCCGGCCGGGCGGCTATTGCCTTTCATTGGCAGGCAGATAAACAGGGGGCCGCCTGGCGCCAGGAGGGCCACTATCAGCGTCTAGGACAAACTGAGATATGGGCCTCTTTTGGCCTGGGACGCCAAGCACAAGCAAGCAAGCCTGCCAGCACACACACACACACACACACACACACGCACACACACACAGGCCCTGGAAACTTCACCGTGGAAAGACTGTAAAGCCCTGGATGAGTCTGCTTTGCGCTTTGGAAATGCCAATTTTGAAATGTTGAAACAGCAGATGGGCTGTTTGTTTAAAAAGCGGGGCTTCTGATGAAGTTGTAAAAAAAGATCCTGATTTAAGGTGGACTAAACAGCTCGTAAGTGCTTTGGCACTTCTCACGCGCCAACAAAAACACATGTTAAAGACGGGATGCCGCCTAATTAAGAAAGCAACCCATTTAGAATATAAAAACACAAACAATCGATAAAACATAATAATAATTCGATGGGGGGGGCGATAGGCATTTGTGATGTAACTATTTCAATATAACGTGCCAAATTCAAATTTGATGACACTATAGTCCCGCTGCCGGATATATGAAGGGGACCCTTCTTACATCGGTCAAGTTTGACCTTATGGAAGAAGCTCAAGACAACTATGCCAAGAGAGGTGATGTCATTTGAATTAGGCTACTTATGCCTGTAACAGTCTGGTAATTATTTGACACAATGGCACGGTGACTGGATGCATACTTCATTTTAAAATGAGGCCCGACCACCAGAGAAATAAACGCTATTTCAGAACTTTTTTCTTTTCTGTCGCGAGAATGAGGTTATTGAAATAATCCAGCTCACCGAGTTCACAAAGTCTGCTCATGTGGTGCGGGTTGCAGCAAACGAGCTCTGGGTTGATTTTCCCGTAGGATTCACAGCAAGACAGCCTCTTCAGCTCCGAGGAATGCCTGAGGTCCGGCCACCTGAACACTTTGTAGAGCAGCATGGGGAGAGAGTAAGACTGTTGACCCACTTTGGCGTCCACTTTGCTGGGCAGGAGCAAGCAAGGGCTTCGGACACCCCCCTTGGACTCCACCGCCTGCAAAAGCACCTCTAATTGTTTCTCTTTGATCTTTTTCAGTATCGAGTGGGTCAACGCCTTCAATTCAGCCTCCGACCCGGCGTTGGACTTGGCCACCTTTGTCGTTTTGCCCATGCAGCAGCCCCCGGAGCCATGCGTCCCTCTATCCGTCTCCCCGTCGCCCTCCACGGGCGCACGGCTCCTCCAGAGTCGCCGGACGAGCCCCGATCGTTTGGTCCTAAACATGCGGGACGAAAAGAGGGTTCCCCGGCTAAAAAACGAGCATGGTGTCCGCAAATCATGAAGATTCCGGGATCCGAGTCCAGGCAATGACAAGCAGCCTGAGAAAATACGGTGGAAGAACCGGGAGCTGGATGAGCAGAGGAAGTCTGTAGCATACGCCAGTCTCTGTTGCCTTCTCCTACAGACTTGATCACTGAAAAGCAGGCGAGGTTCCCGGGACAGTCAGCTTTTCCTCGGGGGATAAACAACCATCATATCCAGGCGGTTGAGACTAGCCTATAAAAATGAATCTAGCAGTTTATACACCTCGGCTACAACACACCCAGCATAGCCCGAAAGTGTGCACAATTATTCCCGTGGCGATGTGCAGCCTATAGCGCTGTGAGCTGACCCCCTTTAAAACAAATTCCGATTTTCAGCATGAAACAGTGTCAAACATCGTGCTATCTTTTGCGAATCAGCCGTGGTGGAAATGAGACAGACTGGGGCCTAATTAAAGCCTAAACGCTATCACAATTATCCCATGAAAAGCGAAGCTCGCCGCCGCGTCTTCAAGAGCATTAATCCACAAAATCCTTGATCCGACTGCACGGAGTAGGGCTCTCCAGCAGGCTCGCGGAGGCTTTAAAAATATCTGTTATAGTCTAAATATGCCACTCGTCTGCAGAGGATGTGGTCTGCTGGTAAGAGGGAGCCTTCGTCCGAAGAGCCAGTGAGCAAATCCAGGGCTGATTCTCTCACCCGAGTCGAGTAGAGTTGCGTTGCGTTTGAAAGCCTGGCGGAAAAGCGAGAGAGACCCCTCGGGTTACGTCCGCGCACCGAGCCTCGAGACCTATTTTTGTAGTCGAATCCTCTAAGATTAAATAATCCAACCTCGTATCTCACACGAAGTTTCTGCGTCCGAGTGTGGAAGGAAAAGCGAGCCGACGTGTGATCTCGAGGGGGGTTGGAAGGCTCTCTGTCTGCAAATGAGGCGGATGGCTTGGGTGCCCTTGCTCCGTCTCCAGTCTCCAGTGCGCATTGACGCGCCCGGTCACGTGTGTGTCTAGACACCCTGTCGCTTAAAAGAAATGTGATTGTGTTGCGCAAACAACAGATCAAGTAGAGCTCACAGCGCACACGCACACACGCGAGCGCGCGCGCGCACACACACACACACACACACACACACACACACACACACACACAGCCAAAAAGGAGTAGGAAAGTTAAAAAATGTTCCCAGAAAAAGTTGAAAGAGTGTAACATTGAGAATAGGAGGACGAGGCTGGGAGACTAAAGCAGTTATAGGCCAAAATAAACTCAATTCAAGTCATGTCTGTTACAACTTGTGAAGCGGCCAGATTGGGAAAGATGAATCGAGTGAAGTGGCCCTCTGTACCTTAATACAGCTTATTATTATTATTATTATTATTCGTTTGTACGCTCTATCCAACGAGCTTTAATGACACGGGAGTTAAGCAAAAGGACACAACTTATAGATTTGCAGCTTTTGGTCATTTTAGTGCTGTTGATGTCTGATCTCTCTGTTGTTTGAGGCGTTTGATCAGTGTTTATTATAACCATGCCTATTAAGGAAAGCATACATGTTGTAGCTATTAATGGAGATGGAATCAATATAATTTAAACATGGACAACAGTTCTTCTAATCTCATCATAAAACATTTTGCTATTCTGAAGTGGATCGATCTGTATAGTTTTCCCTGGTTTTATTTTGGGTTTTGCCCTGAACTATGCTTTTCAGGCAACGCTTGCGCCACCACTAAGCTCTATAGCTGCTCAGGTTGTAGTTGGACCTTGCACAGGTTTGGTTTTAATAAATGTAGCTGGTGTCTTCAACTACAAACAAAGAGGCCAGGAAGGAGCGTGTTTGTGCCTGCGAGTCTATACTTAGGGCAAGAAAGACAAACGACAACATGTCCGAAACACAGATGAGAGCGCGCTGCTGCCGCCCTATGGACGTTCGTCTTCCAGATGGGACAATCCCAAGTGTCCTTTGAGTTTGTTTGTCTGAATTAACAGCACAACAGTGTCCGGCCTTCTTTATTTATCCGGTAAAACGCTCAATCGACTGAGGATCAATTTCCTTCCGCGCCTGCAGTAGGATCTGCCCACTTTATACCGTCTATCAGCTAAATCCACATTTATTGTGACAGGCGCAATGGATTGATTTGATCAATTTACTGTTAATGCAGCTCAGTGTGAGAGACAAAGACAGGCTTCACTACCAAACAGCGTGGCAGCTTAGTTTTGTTTGTATAGTTGTAGCCTATACAACTATAATAGAATGGTACTGATTAGATAAATGGCTACACTGTTCTATTAAACGTATTGGCAGTGGTGCATATTGCATTTTATGAACCATTAACCAGAACCGTATAAACACATCAAACTCTGTTGAAATAATCACATTTTAAACAGCAGACGAGACCCACAACATGTGTGGCTGCAGAGGACCACATGCACTTCAGGAGGCCCTCAGTCACACTGAGCTGCATTAACTTGAATGCCTTTTTTTCTAATGCGTATGCGTGTGTCTCCTCCGGAGCCTAATTGAGTTCCCTAGACAGACAGTAGTCCAGGGGAGGAGGTGCAGGCAGCAGTATGTAAATGTGTCAGTGAGCCAGTGTCGCTGCAGGGCAGAGGGGGTGGATGGCTGATAATGATGAGATGTGCAGGGTCGGATGTGTGTGTGTGTGTGTGTGTACGTGGATGGAGGTAGTCAACTGCTCATCCCCACATTGTCCCAGGATCCCCCACTGGCGCCGCAAGAGCGCAGCGCAAGGGCCCAAACGGTTCAGAGGACTGCATGCGCCGCTTTTTAAGGTAGTCTGGAAGCAATCAGTCAGGGGAAAAGGTCTGTCAGAGGGATTGTGGAAGTGACTGCAGACGCACATTGTCCCCTCCTCTCTCTCTCTACATTTCCCGGCCCTTCCCTTTGATTGTGTACGTGTGTGTGTGTGTGTGTGTGTGTGTGTGACTATTCTCCAGACTCCAGGAAGTAGCCAATTTTGTCTAACCGTTTTCCATTTCAGTCTGGCTGGAGGAGTCTGTCTGTAAAGTGGCCTGAATATAGGTGCAGGACGGAGTTCTCTTGAACATTTTGCATCACCATGTTTGCGCCACAGCCCTTGTCTTTACATATTTTAAACCCCACCTCAAACAAATACAAAATTAACAAAATGGTGAATTCAGCTGCATGGGCTAATTATATAGTGTTCTGTTTCTTAAACTATGGGTCTTTAACCTAAAGGATTGTGAACCCCTTATTTATTAGGGATTGTATGAAACTTATAAGGGTGGTGAGGGGGCTGGACATCAAGTGTTGTGAACATGTTGCTAATTTAGTATGACTTATTTAATCATGGAACCCAATTTAAACTGTTCTAAATGGAACATCTAATTGTGCCCATGATTAAAACTATGATGCAGCGACAGAACTGGCCTGTGCTGCCATACTAATATTTTACATGCAATCCCTCAAAGGTAGACCACATGATGATGTATACTGTCAGATTATATAAATAGTCAATGGTCAGAGATTTTGTCATACAGGTTTTATCACAGTATATATATATATATATATATATATATACCGCCATTTAATATCTCTGGTTGTAGTGGGACATTATGGGCAATGTTGCAAATCAATGAGCAGCACAGCTTCACGGCCTAATTGGCTTTTTTATATGATTTTTGCCTCAATGTGATGAAGTTCCTTGACTTGACAGACATTAAATTTGCTGGATTATGTATTAAAAAGGGCATTCTTGTCTGGTTGTTTTGTCCATAAATTGTTTCTCAATTTATTTTTCCAGAATATTTACAAAACTGCATTAGTATACATTGTTATCTCAGTATAAAATTACTTAAATATTACACGATGTGTTACTGGGACTTTTTCCCAATTAATAATAACACAAGGTTTGTGAGATAATTCATTTTCTATGAATTTTAACATTTTGAATTCCAGCATGATATATGTAATTGCCTCAACTATATTCTACCATGAAGCCCACAGAGCTGATTCACAAGAGGCCGTGCAAAGTGGAAAAACAGCCTTATAGCGGCAGAATGACGATTCATATTCTAGATAGCAGTCTTGGCCTTTACTATAATTTATTGATACAGTGACTGCCTCCAGACAAGGGGTCATGCATATGCAATTAAAGAGGCTTACTCTGACTGAACCACAGTGATCAGAATAGGCTGAAGATGGCACACATGGAGCTCTTCGTTGCTTCGATAACAATAAAAAAAGCAAGTTTAATTAAAAAGATAGCGGAGAATTAATTTTTTCTGATATCATGTCCGAACGCATACATTGGTGGATGTCACTGCATAATTAAACACATGATAACAATCTGGATGTGCTTCTGTTCTAAATATATTGTGCTGAAAATAATCTATTAATGACTCCAGCTGTGGTTCCACCATAATGACAGAGAGAGGGAAAGGTGATGTCCTGTCCTCAAACATGCTGTCGAACCAAAAAAACAACAACCACAAAGTGAAACATTACGACGTGAACAGAAAAGCTCAAGAACATATTGGTCAATGATGTTGCACCTGAGGGTGCAGCAAAAGATAGATACTCTAGGTTCAAATCACAGACATTATCTGAACAGCAGGCGAGGGCATTCAAAGGAAAGCATGTAGGGCAAAAGATTATCATCGATTAATCGTTTGGTCTATTAAATGTCAGAAAATAGTTTCAAAACGCCCTGTGCAATCTCCAACAGCCTGAGGGCATGTCATCAAATTATTTTTGGCAGATGCAAGAGAAAATACTCACAACTGAGATGTCGGAAATCAGGAATGTTATGTTGAAAAATTACTTTAGCAATAAATCAATCATGAAAATAGTTGCCGATTAATTTCCAGCTAGTTGTTTTAGCTTTTAAACAAAACAGCAGTAAAATGTAGTATGCAAATCATATGTACAGTATAAAAACTGGAGGAAAATAAAACATATTTATAAGCTGAAGGACATATACTGCACATATAAGATGTTACTGCTTTCCAGAAAGGAAAGTTTTAAATATGTGTTAAAGGCTAATGTCCGTTACTTGTAGGATTAACTTATCCAAATAGCAAAGCATAACCAAAAAACTACTCTAAGCAAAATGTTGAATGCAAATTAACACATTTATTAATAAACCTTCCAGTTCAAAACATCAAGCAACAGCAGCTCCGTTTGTAGTTCTGTGAGGTGAAAGATGGAAACTGAACCAGAAACACATCACAGACTGCAGACAGCAGTCAATCAATAAAAAGAAACACCGTAACACAATATTAATCGCTTTTTATCGATCCAAACTTTTCAAATGGATCAAACTCAGACTGATGCATTATGATGAATCAATGTTTTTTTTACACCCCACATAACCTGATCATACATTTACGTACTTTAAAAAATTAATATGTAGAAAGCCATCACTAGCAATTATAAAGTGCATTGAAGTGAATATACCAACCTTAGATACAGTATATCAGAGGATTCAGGCCCTTTGCTGCTATCCTTACAGACCAATGTCTCCCCCCCCCTGCAAGAACATTTCTTTACCCGGATAGATAGATATATACTTTGACTCCACAAGCACAAGCAACATTAAAGAGTACAGAAAATACAAAACAGGTAATACAACAGGCTGTTCTCATACAGCGTTCTTAGCTATATCTGCGAAAAATGAATTTTTAGATGTTTTTAGAATCTATGTAATCTTGAACCAGGAAGAATAAAGACCACAAAGCCCCCACACAGGGCAGGACAGAGGGTCAAACAAAAACCGGTCCTGCACCCAGGAGACTGCTGTTTGTGCTCCATTTGAAACAAAAAGTCTACGTTGAATTATTTGTCACCTAACCTCAGCACTCCGGTAAGTAACAATTACTCCATTCGTGATTACACTGATTACCTGATTCAACATGAATATTCCAAGTTTACAGGGTTATCAATGTGGACACATAGGACAGAACTTGTATAATAGGCTGGTTATGTATAACCACTGAACTTTGATCACCAACTTCATTGGGATCAAAGGTAATCTCAGTTCTTTTGATCCCAAAGAAGTCAGTGATCTCTTGCTTTGTTTGCAAAGTTTTCTCTCATTGAAAGAGTTTCATGAAAACATCTTTTCAAAATGGGATTCATGTTCGTAAGCTGCTGTTTGATAAAAGCTTCACCCAGTGGAGAATGCTGTAAAGAACAGGTCATTTTACATTCACTCTCCTTTAATATGGGTTTTGTTCAGGGATTCAATTTGTGACATTGTATCAAAGGAGCCAGAGGCCTCGGTGACCCAGTTCTCTTTATAGGCCATTAGTGTGAAATAATTTTGAAGATCTGCAGGCGTGTAATTGGTCTACATATATAAGAGTGCTGGGGCTAAATGGATGGAGCAAGATATCTCAAACCTAATGTTGAAGTATATCTTATATGTGGTCTGGATGTTTTTGGTGACCTCTTATTCCCCTGGCTTCACCATCATGCCCAAATATCTTCTTCTAAAAAACATCAACACACTTGGTAGATCGCCATGAGATGGAATGAGCACATTCATATTCCCCAGAGGATGAACCTTTTCCCAAAAATTTCCACATGCACTAGACAAAAAAGGAAAACTGGGGCTGATGGGAAAGTCAATAGTTTGGCAGATATTTGACAAATAAAGTTTTAATGTTAGCGCTATATGAAAGAGTATCACCAACGTTATTAAAGATCATCCTAATGGACACATGCATAATCAATATAAAAGTGTTTGGGATATATCACTCAAAACCACAACTTAATGATTGTGCCAAAGGAAGTGACAGGGGCTCACCAAAAGCATTAGAGTACATCCTCTTGGAGCCATGAATGTCTGTACAGAAAAAGGTTGTGCCAACAATCCATCAAGAAGGTGTTGATTTTCACAAGTGAAAGACCTGCTGGTGGTGCGATATGTAAAGTCAGCGGGTCACCAAAGTCTGTAGGATTCCTCCTCTGGGAGACACGGATGTCAGCACACAATTTAATGTAAATTTGTCCAATAGTTGATCAAAGTGGTGGACAGGCTGACCAACAGAGCGACATTATAAACAAACATATAAAAAAGACATTAAAAAAAATCACCTCTTACCTTCTATCCTAGGTCTGCTCCTGTCTTGTGATGTGTTAAGCAGCTCCATGTTAAAAGGTCAACGACCGGTGACCTAGAAAGAATTTCAGCAAAGTAACTCAACAACTCAAAAATAGAAAAATAGTCTAAAATATAGATGAGAAACGCTACAGTAGAGCTATGTGACTTTTAAAGCCTTTCCTACGGTGTGTGGTGACCAGATATTGTTCACTTTGTGTAACCTGTGATGACTAAACTTCGGTTCGCTGGTATCTTTCAGACATCACGTGCACTATACACCCTGTCTGTCTCTTCTTTATATCTCTTTGTGTATTTCCATTGACGGTCCAGCCCATTGAAACTGTTTTCATTCCACTGAGGATTTGGAAAGAATGACAGTAGGTGTTATCTGTGTTTATTTTTGTATTTACATCTAACTCTGCGTTGTTCTCATGCTGTGAACGAGCGTCCTCCTTCCTGTGACCTAATCCTAAAACCTTTGAGCCCAACGACCTTCCATCGTTACTGTGGTAATCCGTCAAATTAATTGGTTCCGTGTCACTAGGGGCTACCAGTAGCTACTACAGAGCCACTTCAGCAATCTGGTCTCCCGTGCTCTAGTTTTTCAAATCATTCAATTGACGCTGATCTGGGTATGACCTCGGCATCTGGAGCCACACTACGCTGGTACACTGCAACACAACCACACCTAGACCTTGAGGAAAAGGTACCAGCCTGTTAAAAAAAAAAAAAAATGAACTACCCATCCCAGAATCCCCTGCCCCATCCATCTTCCTGCTGTCACCTGAAATGGGAGCCCATGGTAAGGTGACCCCTACACCATGATGGAACAAGGAGGGCCATGTCCCTTTGTGAAAACCTCCCCTCAACCATCTGGCACGGCAATAATAGAGCTGGAAGCAGGTGAGCGTCGGTGCAGAGAGAGAAAGAGTCCGGAAAATTTGTCCTCGAGCGTGCAGCCTAACTGTAACCTACTGACGACACCCGGGCTGAAAATGGGCCATTCTTTGCATCAAATTGCTTCCATTATATTGTCCTTGAGAATGAGAGAATTTCAGGCATGAAAATCAATACAATAGAGACGAAAGGCATGAAATTCTCTTGGGAAGTGGGAGCTCCGGCGACACAGTGGGTACCATTGTGCAGTAAACTCCCCCCCCCCCCCCAAAAGTGGTTTCATGCCACTGTTTCTGCTGCCTCTGCATCTATGACCACAACGAGCAACAATGAGACATGAGAGACACATGCCGTGCTAACGTTTACTGTCATCTGTGATGCGGATATAAACAGCATGTGACAGCTTGATTTTTTTAGGCAGATTTATCTTTTGTCTAGTTTGCTCTGCAGAGTTAAAGGTGCTAAATTTGAAATTCAGAGCATGTCTTTTGCCTTCACACGGCACTTTACATGGAGACAGCTGAGGTGGTGGCTCGCAGCTAATGGCACAAAAAAGTGCCAACAGCAGCAACAGTGCTGACAGAGCTAACAGTGTTTAACTGACAGGGGAACCAGGGACGAGTCTAGATGGTACACAGGCGGCAATAAGTATGAATATATATATATTTCTGTTCTATACAATACAATATATAACCTTTAGAAAAAGCACTTTAGCTGAAATGAGCCAAGGACACACTATTCTAGTTGATGTTCCAGAGTAAATAGTCAACACGTCAATACCTCACAGACCTATAATTTATCAAAACGGTCTACAGTTGTGGTTCCCAACCAGGCGGTTGCAAGATACATTTTTGGGCTGCACAATGATTAATGAGGTATGACAGAAAAAACACTATTTCTGCCAAACACAATGACTTTTCTCCAATTTTTCCTTAAAAAATATAAATCTGTTTTTGCTCTTCGGGCCTCTAAAACCTTTTCAAAAGAAAAACATCTGTGATGGGAAAATCACACTGGTTGATCTGCTTGCAACTTTGAGTCATAAAAAGACATTGCATAGTTTTGAAGGACTAGCTCAACATTTTGGGAAAAACACAACACGTAAGATGAGAAGATTGATACACAATCCGTGTCAATGCAAAAATGTGTATAATTTCAATTTGATATGGAATACATTCCCCCTGTAGGTCCATACTGTTCCCTGAATGGTTCACTTCACTTCGCTTAATAACCACATGACACTTTGGTTGCTTTGATTTCATATTTTTATTTAAACTCCTATTTCCAAAGTAATGTTCGCCACAAAATGACAACTGTTGTCATATTATATGTAATAATATAAAGCCAGTTTTTACCCTGGGAAGATTCAAAGGATCGTACCACCGGTTTTCTTTCATAGTAGTCGTCACTTTAGTACAACTACCGTTTACATTTTGGGAGGGATGAATATGTATAAAAAAAAAAAAATATACATGAAAATAAATAATTTAATACAAAGTCTCTACTTAAACATGCAAATAAAGTGACAAATCAGAGAGTCAAACCCACCGTTATTATGCACAACAGGACAAGGGGAGATGACTTGTCCTAGTGCGAGTACTGGCCTTGTTCGCATCAGGAGGAAAAAGGAAACGACAAAAGGCGGAACAGTCAAACAAACAAGATGGAAGTACAAATTAAATCACATGAAGAAAAGCGATGTGGGCTGCTAATATCATCCAGGGATTGAACTTAAGCATTAATTATAGTGTAATTCAATGTGGGTTATTGGAGGTGGACTGAAATCTAAAATCCATGCATGTTACAAACAAACTTCCTGTTGGCTCTCTCTTTCCTCTGGCCCTTTTTAAAATCTTATTTCACAAACACAAATATTTTATAAAACCAATTGTATCCAGAGAACGATGTTGGTCAAAATAAAACCGTACTTTATGAGATACTTAAAACTCAACATCATAAGTTATTCATTAATCTATGTTGTATGTCTTGACTATGAAGTCGATACTATTTCTTAGCATTCAGAGCAGCAGTAAATTAACCAGAGCAGTGCACATGTGTTTTAATTGACCTACTGTTTGTAAGCAAGAAGAAAAAAAGAAATAAAACAGGATTATCCATCGCCGGTGTCTTGAGCTCCTCAGAATAACAGAACATTTTACAGCAGACATGTAACTCGCCATGTGCTGTGGAACCAGGTGAAGCTGCTCAGGTGTTAAATCGGTAATCCCTACAGGACCGCACGGAAGTGGGCGCTACCGAGTGAACTGTTCACCAGTACAGATGAAGCCTCACGGTGTTGAAGCGGAGGATCTTTTATGATATAAGAAGAGAAAAGAGGCTGTGCATAAAAAGAAACACCAGTCTGTACAAGGTCGAGGCACTTTCAAAGCAGCGTGCACATACTATAAAGGGCAATGCGCACACACACACACACACCCACCCACCCACCCAAACACACGCACACATGCCGTCAGTCCTTATTTTTTTTTCCTATACAGAACGGGGATGAAGACGCACACAAGTCTTGCTGCAGCAGGTGTTTCAGCCAGAGTCCATGCTGAACAGCTCGATGCCATGCGGGCTCCAGTGGAGGCCGACTCCAGAGTTGAAGACCAGGGACCAGACATAGGGGATGAAGAAATCCTCCGGCTGGTCTTCCTCCACGTATTTAAACTTGAGCTCTGGAAACTTCTATTCACACAAAAAGAGAAGCGAGAGATGCTAAGAAAGGTTGGTGGGATGATGCACAACCGAGATACTTCTGTATGTTGTTCAGTAACAGAAAAAGATTTGAAATTTGAATATGCAAAATGGGGTAAAACCATTCTGGAAAAGGTGGCTCTACATCGGGACAAAGATCTGGTCCTCTGTTGCAATGATTGCCGGGTAAATGGTAAAATTAGCCCGTTCACGTAAATCATCTACCAGGAATGTGTACTTGCGACCAACACGGCGACATCTCCGCTGCTACACAGGTAGGTTAACCTGTTTAGGCCTCACGGTAATTATTCTTCATCACGTACAGTAGCTCGCTGGCAGATGTAATTCCATCTGTCTGTGAGGTAAAATTGTTTACAGCTGCCTGCGGGACAGGACAGGTATTAACGTGGTCAGACCACCAATCTCTTAAAGGGACGGCTCAAGACCCCGGCGGGCAACTGGATATGGACGGTTACGCACCGACTGTCGCTCAGAAACTAGCCGGAGACAAATGAGAGAACGGACCTCAATACAAAACAAGTAAATATATAAAAAAACAAAAACAAAAGGCAATCTAATAAACTGAAACCAAACATAGGGGTGTAGCTTTACCGAGCGGTCCGTCAGCCATCGTGACCTTATTGTTTAGACTGGTGGAGAAGTGCTGAGTAACCCGATTACTTGGCGATAGCCACTCAGGCCTTCAAGCTTCAGCCTGTCATGACACGGCTCATCAACGGACAAAACACTCAGTGAGCTGGACCGGGAGAGGTTATCAAGTTCAGTGTTGATTATGTCTGGAGCTAATCCCCCAGGAAAACAGAGACAACACACACACACACACACACACACACACACACACACACACACACGGAGTGTACTATCTTCTGCATACTCATGTTTGTATGTGATTTTTAGAGCTGAAACAAATTAGTTAATTGACAGGAAATTTACTATTTTGACAATCAATTAATCATTTTCATATTTTAAGCAGAAATTACCAAAGAAATTCCTCACATTTGAAGCAAAAATGTGAGTTAACGATTGATACAGTTATACTCGACTGTCTTTGCATTGCAAGATGCGCCGTTCCTCTTCGAAGTGTCAGCACAAGAAATACTGGATGTTCCTTTTTTTTTTTTTTACTTGAAGCTAACATAAACCCACTCAACAGCAGGGTGGCAAGCAAAAACAAGAACATCAATAATACAAGGAGGTAGCTCATTATATCCTCCCGTCTACACACGCATGTATATCCACACACACGCAGCCAGTAATCAGTCTGCGCTGAAAGACAGACGCTGAGGGCCTTTATGCGATGGTCCCAGTCCGGTCTATTGAGTCCTGGCTGGCTCCATTCACAGCCACACTATCGATATCATAATGACACAGACGGAGGGGCTGCGGGGGTCACAGGCCATATGCCAGGCTGCTGAGGCCAGACCCCCCCACCCCCCCACCCCCCCACACACACAC